TATTTAAAAAAAATCTTTAATCAAGGAAATTTAATTAAGTTTTTTTTTCTTTGTTGGAAGCTGTGGAGAAGAAAATTTTGGAAGGGATATTTTTCAAATTTTCTTGGAAAACACAGAAAGGCAGGAAACGAGGGCAAATCTTGAAGGAATTTTTTTGTTGCAGGATCAATTTTCAAATGGCATTTTCTGGTGCAAAATTTGAGGTGATAAAGTTCGATGGAACTAGTAACTTCAGATTATGACAAACAAGGGTGAAAGATTTGTTGGCTCAACAAGTAATCCTGAAAGCTTTGCGGGCAACGAAACCAGATGTCATGGAAGATGAAGATTAGAAAGAATTGCAACAACGAGCGGCAGTGACGATACATCTATATTTGGCAGACGATGTTATGTATCATGTGATGAATCTAAAATCTCCAGGGGAGATTTTAAAGAAATTGGAAACACAGTTTATTTTAAAATCTCTGACGAACAAGTTGTATCTAAAACAAAAGTTGTATGGGCTGAAGATGCAAGAAGATTCTGATCTGGCGCAGCATGTTAATGGTTTCAATCAAATAATCACAGACCTGTCACAGCTTGATGTGAATATTGAGGATGAAGATCGAGCGATGATTTTGTTGTGTTCATTGTGTTCTTCCTATGAACACCTGGTGACTACTCTGACATATGAGAAAGAGACTGTCAAAGTTGATGAAATTACTGCAGCATTGTTGGCTCACAACCAGCGAAAGCAGAATGCAGGGGAAAGCCCTCATGACAACAGTTTATATGTTAAGGGTAAGCAGGATCGTGGAAGGAAGAAAGAAAATGAGGGTTCTGGAAGGCGAAATTCTAGATCAAAGTCCAAAGGAAAAAATAGAAATTCATTGCTACAAGTGCAAGGAGCCATGTCATATGAAGAGAGATTGTCCAACTCTGAAGAAGCACACTAGGGAGAAAGGTGATGCTTCATTGAAATATGTAAATGTGACACAGAATGACAATTCAGATTGCAGTGATGGTGATATGCTTTCAGTGTCATCAGCTCAATTCACGGCTGCATAGATTCTTGATTCAGGGTGTTCTTATCACATAAAATCTAACAGAAAGTGGTTTACTTCATACAGGTTAACTAATTCGGGCTCAGTCTATTTGGGTGATGATAGATGTTGCAATATTGCTGGTATTTGTGAAGTCAGAATTCAGATGTATGATAGCACAGTTAGAACGTTATGTGATGTCAAGCATATTCAAGATCTGAAGAAGAACTTGATTTCCTTGAGCACTCTACACAGAAATGGTTTTATTCCTAAGGCTGATGAGGATAGAGAAACCATCAGAATTGTTAAGGGTGCGCTGACGATGATGAAAGGAATGTTAATTGCATGCAATATCTACAAACTGTTGGGGAGTACAGTTGTATGTGGAGTTCATTCTGTGGAGTCAGATGATGATAGTACAAAGCTATGGCATATGTGTTTGGGTCATCTCAGTGAATGTGTGATGGCAGAATTGCATAGAAGAAACCTGTTGCATAAGGTTAAAAGCTGCAAGCTCGATCTTTGTAAGTTCTGTGTTATTGGAAAATAGATTAGAGTCAGTTTTATGACTGAAAAATATAAAACTGAAGGAATTCTTGAATATGTGCATTCTGATGTATGGGGCCCTACTAGGGCGTTATCATTGGGAGGATTTAAGTATTTCGTTACCTTTATTGATGATTTCTCCATGAAAGTTTGGGTGTATTTCTTAAAGCAGAAATTTGAAGTCTTCTCTAAATTCAAGCTGTGGAAAGCTGAGGTGGAGAACCAAACTGGCAGAAAGATCAAGTATTTGAGATCTAATAATGGCACAGAGTACACAGATTCGCAGTTTCAAGTATCAGAGGCATTTTTCAGTGTGCAAGCCACTATATCAGAATTGTGTGGCAGAAATGATGAATAGATCCTTAACTGAAAGGGTAAGGTGCTTGAGACTGAATGCATGGCTTCCTAATGGCTTCCTAAGACTAAGAGTTTCTGGGCAGAGGCTGTGAATATGGCATGTTATCTCGTCAATAGATAACCTTGAGCATCATTGGGTGACAAGGTCGTAGAAGAGGTATGGACAGGTAATCCAGTTAAATTCGATCATTTACGGATTTTTGGTTGTCTTGCTTATGTGCATATACATAGAGATGAAAGATCTAAACTTGATGCAAAATCTAAGAAGTGCATCTTTTTGGGCTACAAGAAAGGTGTGAAATGATACAAGTTTTGGGATCCGATTGCAAAGAAGATGGTGATCAGCATAGATGTAGTTTTTGATGAGCAGTTTATGTTACAGCAGAATCAAGACAAAGTGCCAGAAAAGAGTTCCAGTTCAGATGCAGTGCATATGGATTTAGAACAGCAGCTAGTAGCTTCTAAAAGAGGTGAAAGTTCAAATCCAACACCTGGTGATTTTATGCTAGATGATCTGCAGAATTATAATCTAGCCAGAGATAGACAGAGAAGCACCAATGTAAGATCTTCTAGCATATTAGGTTAAGAAGTCTTAGTCTCATGTGCACTTCTCATTAGCAGCGATGATCCAACCACTTTTCAAGGCACTATCACTAGCCAATAGAAAGAGAAATGGATGGGTGCAACGGTTGAGGAGATTGAGTTTTTGCAGAAAAACTGCACTTGGAAGCTAGTTCAGCTTCCAGAGGGAAAGAAGGATATTGGGTGCAAATGGGTCGGGTGCAAATGGGTCTACAAAAGATGGGTCTACAAAAAAAAAACCAGCAGTATCAGAAAAAGATGGGGGAAAGTTTAAGGCTCGACTGGTAGAAAAGGGATTTTCACAGCAAAAGGGGATAGATTATGATGAAATCTTTTCTCCTGTGGTCAGACATACTTCAATCAGGGCAGTGTTTGCATTTGTAGCTATTTGGGATTTGCATTTGGAGCAGATGGATGTTAAAACTGCTTTCTTGCATGGTGAACTGGAGGAGCAGAACCTGGACAGGAGCATCTGGTTTGCAGGTTAAGGAAATTATTGTATGGGTTAAAACAGTCTCCAACACAATGGTACAAGCGGTTCGACTCCTACATGATTCAGATTGGCTACAAGAGATGTGAGTATGATTGTTGTGTTTATGTGAAGAGCCTTGATGATGCTTCTATTATTTTTGTGTTACTGTATGTTGATGATATACTGATTGTTGCAAAGAATATGAATGATGTCTGTGGTTTGAAAGCTTTATTGAGCTAGGAATTTGACATGAAAGACTTGGGTCATACAAAGAAGATTCTTGGAATGGAGATTCATCGAGACAGAGGCTCAAGATAATTATGTCTATCTCAACGAGACTATGTTGAGAAAGTGCTGGAAAGGTTTGAGATAAGCAAATCAAAGCCTGTAAGTACTCCTTTAGCAAATCATTTTAAGTTTTCTTCAGAACAGTGTTCTAAGACAGATACAAAAATGGGACATTGCAAAGATTCCATATGCTTGTGCAGTTGGTTGCTTGATGTATGCAATGGTATGTACTCGTCCTGATTTGACTCATGTTGTTAGTCAAGTCTGCAAATGCATGTTAAACCTAGAAGGCGACATTGGGAAACAGTCAAGTGAATTTTTAGGTATCTAAAGGGTATTGTAGGACATAAAATTATTTTTGGCAGTCAGCAGAATGATCCTTCAGTTGTGGGGTATGTTGATTCAGACTGATTTGGAGGAGGGCCTATATGTTGGAAATCAATAATTTAGTCTTTTGTGGCATTATCTACAACTGAAGCTCAGTACATAGCAGTAGCTGAAGCTGCAAAAAAAGTCTTATGGCTTGCTGGGCTTGTAAAGGAACTGGGCGTTGAGCAAGGTGGAGTTCAGTTGCAGTGCGACAGTCAGAGTGCTATTTATCTGGCTAAGAACCAGACGTACCATGCGAGAACCAAACACATTGATGTTAGGTATCACAAGATCAGAGAATTGATTGCTTCTGGGGAGATACTGTTGCAGAAGGTTCATACTGATGAGAATGTAGCTGATATGTTGACCAAGCCAGTTCCTATCAACAAGTTCTTGCATTGCTTGAACTTGTTGAATGTTTGCAGTTGCTAGAGAAGAATGCATAGTGGCCCAACCCACTTCTGGTATGTAAGGAACTCCATGACGTATTTCATAGTTCTCCTAAGGGGCTGGATATTCGCCAAGGTACCCAAAAACTTATTGGCACCTTAAAAGCCCAATGATGACACATCACATGCTAGATCAATATTTACATATAAATTTTTAAAAAAATTACTTAAAATTTGCACATATTTGAAAACACATAGAGCATTACTTATGCTTAATTTTAGAAAACATTTCTTATGAAGTTTATCAGCATAATTAAAATAATTTTCATATTTTATTTTTAAATTTCATCATAATTGAGAAATTATTAGGATAAATAATAAATCAATCATATCATTAAACACCTAGACACATGCTATGCTATGTCTTAGATATTTTTCACCTTTAGCAGCTTGGTATGTCTTGATTAATTTAACTATTCATAGTCCATCTAGCCCAAAAGCATGCCAAGTGAAATGATCATGGTTATAGCTAATACATAGCAAAATATATAGAAGAATTTAGCAACCTATTAAGACACATTAGTTGCTAACAAATGGCTAAAAAGGCGCCAATGAATTGCATAAGCTTATGGTGTCTTCAAAAGCCTTATAAAACAAATTAGAATGTCTTAGTAAATTTAAAGTGAATAAAACAAACGAGGGCTCGACTTTTATGCCATCCTGCTTCTTTGTTGAGATATGACACGAGAAATTCAACTCATGCTAACAGTTAAACAGTTCACTTTTTTGCTCACAAATAAAATACACATTTTCATGCTTAGGTTATAACTATAAATATCAAACTTTATGTCCTGAATATAGTAAATACAATAGAATTTTGGGGTATATATGTAAAATTTCCTATGAAAAAATGAACTGTGTTAATCTAGGAAGGATATGAATGAAACTAAAGCCTTCACAACTCCCAAGCCACAATTCTATTTTTAGACATGCAATGTAGAAAATTAAATTCAAGGTAACAATTAAGCAATCTAATGTTTTCTGTGACAAGCTAAAGTTCCCACTGTTACAAATGAATAACTGGAGCAAAGAGGAAGTAGACAGCAAGGATTTTAAAATTTCTTTCACATCAAACTGGCCTTAAACCATGCTTGAGTGCTGCATTCCACACAATATCTATTCGATCAACATCGATCGCGCCAACCTCATGATGTGTCCAGCCTTCAAGAAAATGCACCACTCCTCCTGCATGGCAAGCATGCACCACTCCTCGATCGAGCGTATACTGCACAATAACAACAATAACAAGCATTTATCCCGCTAAATGGGGTTGAGTGTGTATTGTATCATTTGTAATTTTTCTGAAGAGAAAAGTTTGTTTATATGAATAGCTCCTCTACTATTTTTGAATGCTGAAAATTACCTCACACATGCCGAGGCCTTGCACGTCCATGGGGAGCTTCATTGCCGCTAGTTTCCCATAGGTGCAGTCGCGTCGAAAGCCTATGATTGGAGGGACTACAAATTGGTGGAAGTGAGTTCCTTTCGGAGCGAACCGCTGCTCGCTAAATGTAATCCACTTGCCAACAATCCACGTCTATGGCCATTGCATAATGGTGTTAGTCGGTTACATATTTCTAATATGTACAATTATCAGTTTCTTATTTTAGAACAGGGGCATTTATACATACCACCCAATTCCTATGTCTTTACATATCTAACACCTAAACTTCAATTTTTACACTTACAAGACCTAAATTTCTCATATCACATAAAAAATGCCACCATTTTAACTTAAAAAAAATGAAATTTATCTTTTCATGCATAGGAATAGTGATGTGTATGTAAAAACTGAAGTTTTGGTGTTAAATATGCATATAAATACATAGAAATTGAGTTGTCTGTATGTAAATATTCCTTCAGAATATAGGCTTGGTTAGTCATCTCAAACCTTGCAATTTTTCGCGGCTTGGTATTTTGTGACTTGGACCAGGTATTGCTGGCAATCTTCACGAGCTTCCTTCTGTATTGATTGGAATCTTTCAGTAGAAAGTGTCAGCATCTGATATTGCAACAATAATAAGAGTGAGTCAGAAGATAACAAAAATAATTTTGATATTGCACAAAACAGGTAGAGTGAATGATCATATAAAATAGTTGGAAGTATGTGGATCTTAATACAAATTTAGTGCTTACCATGACTTGGACTTTCCTCCTGCATAAGTATAAGGCAATAGCCCTTCCAAGCTTAGAAGTAGCACCAGTTAGGAAGACCTCTTTCACATCCTTAGGGATCTCATTAAGAATCACAGCAGCTGTTAGAGTGTTGCCATGGACAACTCTAACCTTCAGATTGGGATGTTTGTTGACAAACAAAGTCCCACCGCCATTGAGTGCTTCTTTCTGCCAAAAAAAATTTAAAAAAAGGCAAAATAAGTATGATTAACTAAATATGTATTTTTGAAAACATTTTAGTGTTAATTTCATGACATTAAATTAAGAAAAATGACTAGAAATGTTTAGATATATGAATAAGGTAGAAGTACCTTATTTAGTGCTGCTAGGCTAATCACCTTGACTCCCATCCTATCTGCTCTCAGTATAGCCCTCTCAATCTGATCATTGATGCCCTTCTTAGCAAAAGGCAGGAAGTACTGCAAAAAAACAACAATTATAAATTTTAGAAAGATTTGCATACATACGACTGAGTTCCTATGTATTTACATATCTAACAGTTCATAAACTTTAATTTTTATATACATGCCACCTTGCCAATGCATAAAAAGGTGTATTGCACATTTTAGAAGTTAAAATGATGGGTTTTTTTTTAATGTGAAGTGAAAGATTTGGTTGGTATAAATGTTAAAAAAGTAAAGTTCAGGATTAAAAAATATGAAGAGGACAAAGATATTATAACTAACCTGAAAGCCATGTCTGGGCACCACCCAATACTGGTGCAATCGGCCATTGAGATTGTAGAAGGAAAGAAGAAAGGTTTTGGAACACGCCCACATTAGCAGCATGATGAGCAAGGCCCCCGGCCAGAGTACGGGGATGAAAGGCAAAATTCTGAAGGGCATGGAACTGAAAGAGCGGAAGGCGAAAGATACATGCATGGAGGACACGGCATCAACTGGATGAGCTAGGAAGACGAAATCAGGAACTCGGTTGTTCATCCCTGCATCCACATAAAACAATCTCAGAACTGGGCTGAAATAATAAGCATGATGTTTGTGTTGAAATATAAATTTGGTTTTATTTGTTTAAATAAAGTTTAATTTCTAGAAGCTTATTCTAGAATATGTGGTAGGTATGAAATTATTGTGTAGTAGGTGTGGTAGGTGATTGTGTGGTAGGTGTTGATTTATTTGTAACCATTGAATTAGAATTGTGGTGGCACAATCCTAGCCATTAATTTAGGATGTGTCACTAGTATAAATAGGGGTGGAGTCTTTGAGTTTGTATCAAGCAAAGTAAAGGTGATAAATAAGAGTGAAGCTTCTTCCATAAGTTGTGTTTTTAGCCTTTGTCATTTCCTAAAAGCTTTTCCATTCCAACAAAGTGGTATCAGAGCCTAAAGGTTCCATTACAGAGCAATGACAAAAGGTGGCATGGTTTCGTTCCAAGTCCCGATGTTTAAGGAAAACATCTACGACAATTGGAGTATTAAGATGAAGACACTCCTTGGAGCGCATGACGTTTGGGAGATTGTGGAGAAAGGCTACGATGAGCCAAGTGATGAGTCTGTTCTATCCACAACACAAAAGGATAACTTACGAGACTTGCGAAAGAGAGACAAGAAGGCTCTCTTCCTCATCTATCAAGCTTTAGATGAAGATGGTTTTGAGAAGATCTCAAGTGCTACTTCGGCCAAACTAGCATGGGAAGCTCGAGGTTTCGTATAAGGGAGAAGAGAAGGTTAAAAAGGTACGACTTTAAACTTTAAGAAGTCAATTTGATGTTTTTCATATGAAAGAAGGTGAGTTGGTCTCCGATTACTTTTCTAAAGTCATTACCATTTTCAATCAACTAAAAAGAAATGGTGAGAAGTTAGAAGATGTGGCTATCATGGAAAAGATTCTTCGATCGTTAGATTCAAAATTTGATAGTATCACAACCATTATCAAAGAGACGAAGGACTTACAAGTCATGACGATAGAGCAACTTCTGGGTTCATTGCAAGCCCATGAAGAGAAGAAGAAGATGAATGAAGAGATTGCCGAACAACTTCTCAAGAGGAATCTCCAACCAACTCAGAAAGATGAAAGCTTCAACAACATTAGAAGCCAACATGGAAGAAGTAGTGGACAAGGACGAGGTCATCCTAGAAAGCAAGGATGGAGTACCAACAATAACTATGAGAAAGGAGAAAGATCTACAAGAGGACGTGGTCAAGGGCGCTCAAACTCGAGGTATGATAAATCTCAAATTAAGTGCTATAATTGTAACAAGTTCGGGCATTATGCGAAAGAATGTAGATCACCTAAGTACAAAGTTAATGAAAGAGTCAACTACATTGAAGAAAAAAGAGAAGAAGATGACACTCTACTTCTAGCATATAATGATAATGAAAGATGTGAAGATAGTACATGGTACCTGGACACCGGTGCAAGCAACCATATGTGTGGGAGACGAAGCATGTTCGTAGAGCTTGACGAATCAGTAAGCGGCAATGTGTCTTTTGGAGATGAGTCCAAGATAGAGGTGAAAGGCAAAGGTAACATTCTCATCCGTCAGAAAAATGGGAAGCAT